AGACCTCATAGCACTGCCCTCTTGGCCTTGGCCTTATTGATTAAGGAAATAAGTAAGGTGCAGAGATCCTGTGAAGCAAGGTTTAGGGTACATGTAACCCTTAGAGTCCCTGCAGTTCATGAATTATTAGAAATACAATGCTTACAATTTTGGTAATTGATGTTGTTTCATTGCTGTATAGACACTTCTATTTTTTTGTTTTGTTTTTTAATGTATCCAGCTTTCACTCTACTCCATTCCTGAGGAGGGTCAGTCTAAATATGTGGAGGAGCCAAGGACTCAACTTGAAGAAAGCATCTCACATCTCCGACAGCATTGCGAGCCATATACAAGTTGGTGTCAGGTACAGCTCTTCTGAAAATGGAGTGAACACATTTCCGTTTAGAGTCAGTACTGGAAAGTGTGTATCAGCTGCATGTTTTCAGAAAAAGGCTTGATAAAGCACCCCAAGTTAAGAGTACCTAACTTACACATGTTCATCAGTGTCACCCCTGGGGGGTGGGGCAGAGAGCCGTAGCTCCCTGGCGATGGCTGTTGCCCTAGCTGCACAGAGAATTTCCCTCCCACCGGGTGGGTGCAGCACCATGACTAGAGTGGAGGGCTGGTAGTATCTTGTTGGTCACAGCTATGAAAACACTATTGTCTACCAGTAGAGGATACGGAGCTGGAACTCTAGAGGAAGGAAAAGGGCACAATATAACCATTTATGTCAAGATTGGAAAGTCCCCTCCCACTTAGAGATTCCACAAATCAGTACCACTTTAAACAGTAATGGTTACAGAGCATTTTGAATGCTATAATATGAAGATAAATAACTAAAAGAGGGTAGAATTACATATTTGAGTACTGAACTGTTTGCCCCAGTAACCCAAGAACTACTTAAACAGATTGGATTCTGTCACTGCTCAGGTTTTAGATCAGGCATTTGTCATTATGTTTATGAAGGCATTTCTGTGATTTTTAACATCTAAAACCGAAGTTTACAATTTATAGAATGCTGTCGTGGGCTTTGATACATATGTTTGCTATACTTGATCTTGATTTTGAAAATTGATGGAAAATTAGTAAAAAGCATGTAGATGTGTGTGACATGGTCTAGATTTATTTTGCTTGAAACTTACAAACTCAATTTTCATCCAGAACTTATTTAAAAATTTTAAATTTCCGCTGTCTATGTCAGTGCTTAACCAATTTAGAAAGAAAATAGTAAGCATAGACTCTATCAACAATATGAATTAGGCCATTATACTTAAGTATCATAACCATATTATTGAGTTATATAATACCTAACATCTATACATAATGAGTTGTAAAACACTTAGACTTTATTCTCTTGTTCCAGAAGATTTTTAAGCCATCTGCTAGTGGTTAAGATAAGGTCAGCAAAGTTGTGCAAATATTTTTGTATCATGTAGGCATGACTACTGTTATTTCTCTCTCTCTTTTTTTTGTTTTGTTATGAAAGTACTTTGCCTCTAGCTTTCAACCTAAGATTGCTTTTTGTTTTTTACTTTTTCGTCAGTGCAGCAAAATACCTCTGTAGATGATAAAATAGTTATCAACATGTTTATTTGCACTACTTCTAAATAAATTTTGTGTGATTATAATGGTTTTATTTTCCTGTAGGATAAAGTCTTCATGAATAGAAATATCTTTAATTCTAGCCCCTTTCTTCAAGAACTAATTTAATTTTTTTTATGGTAAAAAGTTATGCCAGCAAAAGAAGTGGGCAGTCACTCTCGACATTAATCTGTAGCTTTTTTTTTTTTAATGGGGAGCAAAAATCAATAATGAATTTTAATGAAATGATATTCAGTTGTTTTTTTTGTTTTTTATGTCCCTCTCCAAATTTAGCATTTATTATTTAAGTCCATTTAACAGTATTAGGATAACTTGTTCTGACTTGAACTAAATTATATAAAATGAATCCTTTTCCAAGTGGCAACTGGTTCTGATAACTTCTGATACCCACACGTCTCTTTTCTCATCTTCGCTGTAGACTTCTTGAAGGTGGTTACCTTCTAGGTAGTTTTTGGGATCATCTGATGTTCATGTCCAAAGCCTTTTTGTTGTTGTTGCTGTTTTTAAGGGAATATTAACACTTCATTTGCTTTAGGACTAGGGTAACTGTCTTTCCAAAACTTAGATATATAGACTCCTTTGTTACAGTAAAGCTAGTCATTCCTACTTCAAATGAGCAGTTTTTAGATATAAGCTCTAAAATCATGGCAATCAGGAATTAGACTTAATATGAAAGACAGATTTAATCTCACAGGGAAAGGATTGATTATTGAGGGGACTGTTTGTCCATTCTCTTCAATTTTAATAGAGAATGACAAGGCTGGGTTGTTGAAACCACTCTACTTGAAATCTTTGCTTCCTGTGGCAATCATAAGCCATTCTGTGAGCAATTTGCACTGAAGGGGAGATTACAAAAGAAAATAAAGAACACAAAAAACCCAGATAGACACTATGTTTTTGTTTGAAAAGTGTTGATAACATGATAATTTATTCAGTAAAGACAAATATGTTTATTGTTACTTTCTAATCAGCAAATCCTACTCATTCATTTTCTTTTCACCTTTTTAGGAAATGTACTCCCAAACTGAGCCCAAGATGCAAAGTTTGGTTAAGTGGGGGTTAGGTAAGTTGATTTTTAATGAAGTATCATCAGTTTCTTCATTAACATCGGACTCTAACCCGGGTTCCATGGATGGGCTTCAGGAGATCTGTGAATTCCTTAAAATTATATGCAGAATTTTAGAGCTTTGTAGATTTTTCTGGGAAGACAATCTATTGTTTTCATCAGATTTCAGAGGGTTAATGTACCCAAACACTCAGGTAAGTCTCTTCAAGATCATTAGTATTTTGGGGCTAGCAAGTGCAGATATACTGGATTTTTTTCTTTAAATCTATTCCAGGTGCAATGTCCCTAACTCATGGTAACCCACACTGACCCATCAATAGGTTTTCAGAATCAGGAGAGCTCTTTTGCACAGCTATTAATACATTTTATAGAAGTTTAAAGGCAGGAAGAAACTGGGTTGGTGTGCCTAGGAAAGGCCTTATTGCATAATTAGTAGTGTTCTTACATTTTCATTAGTTCTTATTTTTTTCAAATTATAAAAGAAAGTTTATTTAGAAAGTCACAGAGGTAGAAAAGGTGAGCCAGCTGGGCTGCATGGGCTCAGGAACTGAGTTACAGAGGCAAAAGAAGGGCCCTTGGCGCTTTGGAAAAAGAAAGGCAGAGAGAATGTGCCTGGGGGAAGGACAGGGGGAAAAATTCAGGCATATGAGAGAGAGAGACAGACAGACAAACAGACAGACATGCCCTGGGGAAAGAAGGGGGTGTGTAAAGGCATGGGTGTGCTCAAGAGAGAGAAAGTGCACCTTCATTTTGTTTTTTAATTGTTGACAGTATTACAGATGTCCCCTACTTCCCCCCTTTGTCCAGGTTCTTCATTGTTTTTTACTGTCCTTGATTGTTTTCATAAGCATTTATCTCATAGACTCATAAACTGGGTTCACAGTCTATGTTTTGACTAATCTCAGTCAGGAACTGGTAACATTTTATTTCCCTTTTTGGACATCTTGGCAAATCAAACTCTTATTTTTACAAGTGTTTGTTTCCATGACAGAATAAAATAAAATGAGTATAGTTTATTTCTGTGCAAAGATCATGATAGAGTGTTGATGTGCTGATAGCCCTGAAACTACCAGATAAATAAATTTTTCATTTCAAGACAGTCATATTAATAGCCTACCAGTTCTTTAAATTATTCATGCATGTTAATAAGTAACATCTTAATTTTATTAATTTCATAAACACTTATTTAGTGCTTATTATGTACCAGGAACTAGTCTAAATACTTTAAAAATATTAATTTATGGCCTGGCCAGGTGGCTCAGTTGTTTGGAGCATTGTCCCATGCACCAAAAGGTTGTGGGTTCAATCCCCATTTAGGGCACATACGGGAGGCAACCAATCAATGTTTCTCTCTCACGTTGATATTTCTCTCTCTCTCTCTCTGTCTCCTCCTCCCCCTTCTTCTCTCTCTAAAATCAATAAAAACATATCCTCAGGTGAGGATAAAAATATATTAATTTATGTATAATCCCCACAACAACCCTGAAAAGTACTTTATTACCTTCATTTTTTTAAATCCTCACCCAAGGAGTGAGGATATTTTTTCCATCGATTTTTAGAGAGAGTGGAGAGGGGGAGAGACAGAGAGAGAAACATTGGTATGAGAGAGAAACATCAGTTGGTTGCCTCTTGTATGCACTCCAACCAGGGATTGAACCCACAACCTGAGTATGTGCCCTGACCTGGAATCGAACCCACCACCTTTTGGTGTATGGGACCATGCTCCAACAAACTGTGCCCCACCGGCCAGGGCTATTACCTTCATTTTTTATCTGAGGAAACTAAAGAACTCCTGATCTTTTATTTGGTCATATGTGACTGAGGAGATCTCTTCATTGTCACCTGTTATTTCCCATTGATTCAGAGCAGTAGGCATTATTAGCAATATGTCATTTTTTCTTCTCTTAGACTCATAGTCCAAGAGCAAAGCTCTTAAGAAGAAACGTTCCGTTATGAGTTGTGGTGTTGTCTGCCAAGGCAGTCAGTCCATTTCCTAGCAGTCACAGCCAAGTCATGTTACCAGAATCTGGGCTTCAGCCTCAGTGCGGTCTTATAGCATATCTCCTTTCCCATTTCTTTGTGATTTACCCCCTTCGGCCCAGCTCACCAAGGCCATCTGGTTGTCCTATCAACTACTCCGTGTGTATGCCTAGAATTGAAAACACCATGGTAATAGGCAGAAATAAAGGGAAGCAGATGTCCTGGCTGGTTTGGCTCAGTGGTTAAAGCGTCGACCCTAGGACTGTAGGGTCCCGGGTTCGATTCCGGCCAAGGGCACGTGCCTCGGTTGCAGGCTCAATCCCCGGCCCTGGTGGGGCTTGTGTAGGAGGCAACCAGTCGATGTGTCTCTCTCACATTGATGTTTCTCTCTCTCTCCCCCTTCCACTCTCTCTGAAAAGCAATGGAAAAAATATCCTTGGGTGGGGATTAAAAATAATAATAATGATAAAGGGAAGTAGAAAATTGTCTCAAATGACCCAGGCAAAAAGATGGAAACTTAAAACCAGGTTAAAGGCAAAGTAAAATGCCAGACAAGAATTAGTACCAACAACACAAGCCCTATAGTAGGATTTAAAATGATCACCACATTTCGCAAAGAACCCAGGAAATGGAAAACTGGCATGTGCCTGGTATTATCTGGGGGAGAGAATTATTGAGTATTCCAATTAGTTCAGTTCTGCATAAGTCACCGTAACGGCAAGCATTGAAGATCAAGGCTGATTAAGACAGTGGTCCCAACCACTGCTGCATATAATAAATTATTCATTATTAGTGCAAACACAGAGATGGTCACAGACCACTATCAAAGGTACAGAGGAAGGAGATTAGTTTAATAGAGATTAGGGAGATGGGAGCAGTCAGGGAAGGGCTTCTGAGATAAGCCTCGAAGAAACAGAGGTAGCCACACCAAAACATGGGGGTAAGGCTGTGCGGCATTCCACACAGAGGGCACAGCTCGATCCAGGCCTGGATGTATGACTCAGTGTTGGGTGCGCTGGGAGCTGGAGGCAGATAGGGAGCATTGAAGATGAGGTTGAGAAAGAGATGTGAAGGCTTTTTAAGTCATGACCTAGCTAAAAGCCATTCATTAATTCCTTCAGTATTCATCAGCTCCTAGCAGTATTTTTAATAAATTATCCGTTGAATGAACACCCACTGGTACCACTGAGGAAAGTAACATAGAAGTCTGAGCAGTGCCCCATTAAGGAGTGTATGTGCTCCTTGTTGAGACAAAATACACCCCTGGCTAATTAAACACAGTTGCTGTAGAAGTAGGCGCCAAGTTATGGTACAGAGAAGAAATATGATGGGACTTTAGAGGAAGAGAGGTGTGGGCTGATGAGCATGGGAGAGGCTCTTCTGTGCAATTAGGACTTAAGCTGGCGGTTATTTGGTGGGATTGGCTCAGTGGAGAGGAGAGGAGATGTGGCATCATGCAAATGAGGTATAAGGCATGTTTAGACATGGCCAATAGGCCTACGTGTTGCCTTTATTTTTATTTATTTTATCACTATCAGCAGTGACTATTTCCCGCATATACTTGCACTACTAGTTTCTTTCATTATCCAAATTTATTCTGTTCTTGAGTTCAAATAATGAGTTCAGATAGCAAAGGATACTTTCCCCCTGAGTCTAATGTATTTGGTTCCTTAGTTACAGAAAGCAGGCCCCAAAGCGTCAGAGAGCGATAGATTTACCCAAATCTACAGGCATACCTCATTTTATTGTGCTTCACTTTATTGCCTTTTTTTTTTTTTTTTTT